AAGGAATATGTCAATTCCTTTTTGATGGAAAATGAGAAGGGAGGAATTTTTGGATCTTCTCGTAATTCAGAGATGAAGCTTGCCCTTGTTGTGAAAGAGTTGTGTGAAATAATGACAAAATGTTGGGACAAGGACGTTGAAAGACCTTCATTTGCAGAAATTTGTGACAAGCTCAATAAGTGTTCTTCCATTCTTATGAATTAAAATAACACTTCAAAATGTTAAGTTTTCTGTAAATTGGAATTCTTTAAAATTGAGTTGGATTTTGTTTTAGAGCCAGCCACTCCTTATACCATGATCGATTCGGATATTTCACACAATTTTCTTCCAAACACTTTCTAAAATTCAATTCATCCACAAATGAACTAGTATCCATTTTCTTTCGTCCATAATCTGTTAATCGATCCAATTCTTTCATCATTGATTTCCTTATACTTTTCGTCCTTTTCATCGCCATTTGTTTGTAAAAGAATGACGAAAATATTGGAATGTTAACGATGGTTAATCCTAAAAATGGTTAACAATGAAAATTTTGCAATTTAACATACCAAAATAAATGTGATTGTCATTAATTTCCTTATCTTTCAAATCTTTTGGTTTAAATCTCAAATCAACTTTGAAACCTTTCGAAATATCGATTGCCACAGTTCATGTGAAATGTTCTCCCTTTTCTAATAGAAATTTTCGAGCTAAATTTGAACGAATAAATCGAGGAAATTGATCCATTTTCAAATCTATCATAACCACTAAATCTACCTTTTCAAACAGCACATTAATATCCAGTTTCCTATACAAATTATTCGAAAGTTCCAAATTGGACGAATCCTGTTCGAATCCGTTCATCATTGCTTCTATTATCTGCCACTCCATTATCGTCCACTGCCTAACCGAACTCAAATTCAACTCCTTAGTTGCCTCTTCCACAATAAACTCATCAATAATTCCTTTTAAATTCACAAATAATTTAGTCAACTGATTTTTATCCCATTCCTTGCCACTTGTCTCGTTTCCCAAATCAGAAACATTTCCTACACTACTACTTCTTTTAACCATCAAAGATAAACCGTGAAATTTCTCTTTCAACTTGGCATATTCCACTTTATACTTTTCACATTCGTCCAAATAAAGAAGTGGTTCTTCCGCCATGTTTTCCTTCAAGAATTCTTTAAAGATATTTCTTGTTTCTTGGCATGTCATTACCTCTTCATAGACGAGACAATAATTATCTGGGTTGAATGTTGTCTTGTCTTGTCTCATTTTTTTTAAAGTCAAATGTCTCTCTTTAATGTAGTGGCACTGGTCGGTTTATTTAAACGACGTTACAATAATTGGCAAGTTCATTATTGCGGTTCTGTATTACCAAAATAGTAGTCAGTTGCTATTCGAAATCATAAGATATTTTCGTGTAGTGTATCTCATTCAAGATTATTGGAAATTTCAAATAATTATCTTGTAAACATTTTTGAAAATTCAATTTTCCTGTTTCAATGAACATGCAAACTAATTCCATAGTGAAATCCATGGCTCATTAATAGACATAGACATAATCACTTTTGGTCCAAGTAAAGCTAACAAACGACGATACAAAACTAATTTCCTTTCCTTTCGAATTACGTAAACCTCCATAATAATCCTCTTCACAATCTTCTTCTTCCTCCTCTAATTCCTCTCCCAATTCCTCCCTGCAATCCTCAAGAAAATTATTCAATGAATAACTTTCAAAGGTTTTGTGTTTTGTTGCGGGATATTTTCTACAGGAAAGAAATTCTAAATGAGGAAAATTAGTAAAATTGGAAATGATGTTAGCGCCTTCCAATCCAATTAGGTTATCATCAAGATTGAGATGAGCTAGATTCGGCATGTAAAGTTTTCCCAATAGCAGAACTTCCTCATTTCCAATTTCATTATTAGATAGTAAGAGTTTAGTCAATTTCTTGAATTCTCCCAAAGAAAGAGCTTTCAAAAAAACTTCTCCAACATAACATTGTGATAAATCAAGTGTTGTGAGGGAGGAATCAAGTGGTTTTTCCACAATTAATTCTTGTAAACGAGCTGTAGAATTAACTGCTGAGCAATATAGCTCATC